TTATAATATAAACTGCTCTACTACGTTTAAATTTTAAAAACACGCATCGTAGAACATATAAAAGTAAAGTGACGTTACAACATGCTGTTACTAGAAAATATTTTTAGAAAAAGAAGCCACTTAGAGCCCATCAAGGGCATCCCACTTTTTATAGATAATGATATTTAATTGAAGTTCCAAGACATGAAGTCACTTGGACAAGTTAAAAGATAATTTTCATTTGTACACTCAGCACTTGTACTTTATATCCTAACTCCAGACTGAGCACACATACCATCTTGGTTACACAAGAAATTATTTTCCTATAAGAAATTAAACTCTTTTACATTGTCTAAGCAAGGTCAGTTTTAGCATATTTATTTTTATATTAATTTGAATCACTTTAATTTACTAATTATAAGCATAACATGTATCATTTTAAAATAATTATACTGAAAATTTATTTGATGCATCATTGTAAATAGCATAATAGAGTTAAATGAATGACCATTTCAATACTTAAGTGAAATTCAGTAACACAACAAACAATCTAGTGACTAATTCTCAAGCATATTTCTGAAACACTGAATGGCCAAGTCATTGAGATCAACTTCTCTAGAGCCAAAATCACTGTTAACTCCCTGACAAAGCAGTCCACGTTCACATTTTGGTTTTGCCCCTGTACAATTCTTATGTTAAAATTTACAAAGTGATTTACTGGGATAACATTGGCAAATAAATGCACAAAAAAACTTTGTTCATCTCATACCAAGTTAATTAAACTACATAAAACAGGGAAATAGCAATTCCAAACTCTGCTTAATTAAATATATATATACACACATGATGGATAAAAAATATGGCATATATACACAATGAAATATTACTCATCGATAAAAAAGAATAAAATCATGGCCTTTGCAGGTAAATGGATGGAGTTGGAAAAGAATGCTTAGTGAAGTTAGCCAATCCCAAAAAACAAAATGCTGAATGTTTTTTCTTATATAAGGAAGCTGATCATAATGGGATAGGGAGGGAGAGCGTGGGAGGAATAGCAAACTCTAGATAGGGCAGAGGGGTGGGAGGAGAAGGAAGGGGCAGGGGGTTAGCAATGATGGTGGGATGTGATGAACATCATTATCCAAAGTACAGGTATGAAGACACGAATTGGTGTCAACATACTTTATATACAACCAGAGATATGAAAAAAATGTGCTCTATGTGTATAATATGAATTTTAATGCACTCCACAGTCATATATTTTAAAAAATCAATTAAAATATATATACATTCATGAAGATTGGAAAAAGTCATCTGGAATTCATTCTATTTACATATTCTATTAGAGTACCACTGTTAATCTGAAAATAAATAGCCTCTATTCTTTAAAAAGAATGAATCCCAGGAAGGCGTATTCTATGAGAATGATTTCTTTATACATCATCAGTTATATGTCCATCATAATTAATCTTTGAGAATTTATCCCACAACACAAGCTTTTCATTAACAATTTAGCCATAAGCAAAGATCTCCTTAAACTTATAACAACACAGTCAATTCTTTCTATTCAACACCTCCCATGAGAATGATTTCATCATTCTTCATCCTTGTGTTAGAAATGAATTCCTTCACGACCACAGTTGGAAAACAGTTCTAAAGGTGTTTTTAACCAGTATTTATTTTGGTTTTATTATTGATTTAGGCAGGAAATACCTGAGACTGACTACATTAACAGAAAACAAATGAAAAAATTTATAGAATGTGCACAAGTGATTCTATTTCTGCTATTCAAGTAGTATAAAAGCCATGAAGGAGAAAACTTTAATATACCTCAAGTGAAACATCATAAAAAGTTCAATATATAAAAATTATAATGCTTATAAAGGAAAAATAAAAGTATTCATGAGGCTACAATAGCAATAAGTTTGAGACTGGAGCACAACAGGTATTTCAACACGCTCCTGAAGTATATAAATTGCTGCTACACTCTCTCTCTCTCTCTCTCTCACACACACACACCCCTACTTAAAAATAAAAATAATCTGAAACATCAATATTGTAAAAAGTAAACCCAATATGAAGGAGTGAGAATTAAAGTAGCTCTCTTTTGTTTTGTAAGAACTTGTGTCTTGAAAACACATTTACTTAGTCTAGTAATAACAGGGTTAACAAGAGGAAATGTACAGAACAAGCAGTTAAGTAAAAGGTGACAAAGATTCATGTCTAGGATCTGGTAAAAAACTTAACAGGACCAAAGATTTTTATAACTTAAATTCAGTTAAGGCTCAATGTGCTGTGAAGAAACCATTAGCACTTAAAAGAGGGACTCACTGTGTTTTTCCAATTGTCATATGTTCTTCATTAGAAATATCAGATACATTTATGTTATATATATATATATTTTTAATCTCTTTCCATTATTAACACATTCATGAGTGTAAAAGTAACAAAAGTGTATATGATATACTCCACACTAGATTGAGTCTCTTCCTGATGCTGCCATTTTGAGTTATGGAACCTTCTGGAAATAATTTACATCTCTGACAATTTTGCCATATGTGGAAGTATCAAGTATCAATGGATGGTGGTTTTCCTTTTTTAATTTGCTGGCATGTTCAAATATTAAACATTTTAAAGTATTTTGAATATCACATTCTGATTTGTTATGTTACAATGCAACCTTCTACTAACTGAAACTAAATTAGGCACTTTGAAAGATTTACTTGTTTGTCATAACATTGTAAGTCCACTTGATAATTTGTTTTGTAAATTAAATTCTTAAAAGGATTCCTTTGTCTCAGAGTGCACCAATAAAACTGACATGAGCCCCAAAAAGTAGTACCCTCATGTAATTACACAGAGCATTACTACAAAATCATTTTGATGTACAGAAGTGACAAACCATTTATCAAATAAAATTAAAGTTTTCATTTACCAATTTTGTACTTTCAACTATATTTTTTACCCATCTCTTCCAAATTTTAATGACTAAACATTTATTTGGTATCCATTAAGTGAATAAAATGTGTTCACTGAAAAAAAAAAAAAACAGCTTTATATAAAAATGTATTGTCCGTTATTCCATCTGATACTAACAAAGAATGTTTTGTGGAAACGTTGACAGAACCAAGTAAATTAGAATCCCTATTTTACTAGTTTTATGAGAGAAGATATTGGTTTCACAAGTGGCTTTACATAATCTTTCCTGGAAAATAGCTATAGGTAGTTTTGCCTCCTGAAATCTCTTTTCTCAATTGCTGGGGGAGAAAAATACTGATCATTAGCTTCCAAACAAGAAATCAGCCTAAGATTTTTAGTGCATTTCATTCTTATTTAATTTAGATAAAAGCATATCCTTTTTTTCTGAGAGACTTTTAAAATAATTTTTAGTATTTTAAGACATTCATTACTTTATTTTCTAAGTGTTTGTTCATCACTATTTTCAGTAATGAACATACACCATAAAATTAGAAAATAAAGAACTGGATACATCCTATGTCTATAGGTGGTGTTCTTAGGCTACTCTAATAACTTTTTTTTTTTTGGCAGTACTAGGAATAGAACCCAGTGTTGCTCTACCACTGAGCTACCTCCACAACCCTTTTTGTTTGTTCTATTTTTATCTAGAGAAGTTTCCCAGGCTGGCCTTGAACTTGAGATCCTCATGTAGCACTGGAATTATAGGTATATATCACTGTGCCTACTTAGAAAACCCTCTTGAGTGATGCAATATGATAAAGGGGATAGCAATAAAAATGGGAAGTAACTTATGATGGTTCCACTTAAAATCTTTTGACTTTACTATCATAGGAAAGCAATATGCATTCAATAGAAACCAAACTTCAATGTTTGTCTTTCATCTTCTCCCAGATTAGCACTATGACATTCTCAGGTGATACTGTGAGTGTCATAGTGAGTCACACAGCTCCTAGTCAGTAAAATAGGCCTTTCAACATTAACAATATATGTATTCAATATCTATTGAATCACATATGCCAAAATAATGTATTTTTCCTATGATTTTGATGTCATTTTCTAATATATTTCTGTGAAATAAAGCCTATCTGTTTAGGGAAAAAAAAAGACTCCTTTTTTTGACCATTCTTCTCAGAATTTAAAATTGTTTAATATAATTTAAAAACAAAAACAAAAAGATAGTAGCAGGAAGCTTTCTCCTTGCTTTAATTTTGTAACAAAGTTAATTCATATAAATGTAGATTCTACAGTCCCTGCATTGCCTAGTACATGTAACATCTAATTACACACAGAGGTACATATGCCTGTGTATTTGTACTCATATACCCAAATGCAATATGTATTTATGTCTATATTTTTCTTATTATTAACATACATATAAGCTCTAAGTTATCTAGACTTAAATTTAAGTCATTTGTTTTACTTTATTTTACAATTACCAAAACATTTTTCACACATCTATTAATTTGGAGACTATCTGAATGGTTCTACCACATTTTTATTCACAAGAAACTAAAATGGCCTTTTGGCCACATATAGGAGAAGTCATCAATATTCACAATCATTTCAGGATAATTCAAAAAGTCAAAGTCTCTACACTTCTTCTACTTACACTTTCCATGGAAAAGAGAAGATGAAACCAAGAATAGATTTTCTTACTAGATTTCTTCCTCACCTTTTTAAAATTCGGGGTTTCTGTGCTAATTGGAATTATGGTGTTATGCTAAATAAAGCTCTTTTACATTATCCTAATAACTTGTCAACTTAGTCATGTAGCTGTAATTTTAATGAAGAAAAATAAATGAAATCATTTGCTAGGGTGAATTAAACAGCTTCCTGAACATGACAGTTCAACCGAATGATTGCGGTAAGAAAGTGTCTATAGTAGACATATCGAGAAAGAAAGCCCCAAAATCCACAAAGAAAAGTTCCTTCTGAGTTCAGGTCAAGGCTATTAATGGGATAAATTTTGTTAAACAGAAACATAGGAGGAAGTAAGCACAAGTTTGATGAGAAAAATCTACATTCATTAAGTGAACACTTACTGAAACTACAACAATGGAATATAAAATGGAAAAGTTGCTCTCTTCAAGCATACTCATTAACTTCTGGGTCTCTTGGAAATCAGGTTCCTTCACCTGGAAGAGCAAGAAAATAAAATGAAGTGGAATAAAGGTCTAACATAACTTAAAAATTAACTCAAGGAAAATAAAGAGATTATTTGGGGGCGGGGGGGGGGGGGGGGGGACAAGGGTACCGGGGATTGAACACAGGGGCACTCAACCACTGAGCCACATCGCCAGCCCTATTTTGTATTTTATTTAGAGACTGAGTTGCTTAGTGCCTCACTTTTGCTAAAGCTGGCTTTGAACTCACGATCTTCTACCGCAAGCTTCTGGAGCTGCTGGGATTATAGGCATGCACCACAATGCCCAGCCAAATAAAGAGATTTTATGTAGCTTTCAAAATATTTACCAAGATTAATTTTAAAACAGTTTTAAAGGATACTTATAGATTATACATATTAAATTTGAGCTAATAATTCAAGCATAAGTCATAATCTACTTAACTCCAGGTTTAAAAATAAAAGAAAATTCAACAAAACTATTTAAAGAAACATCACTCTCTTTTTCTTATGAGCATTAGCTTGATAAGAAGTGTTATTTCTGTATTTCAGAAGATAAAAAATAAAATATGCAAATCCATACTAAAAAACACAACTCATCTTTCAAAATCTTATGTTCAAATATTTAAGATTAAGAAAAAATTAGGTCTCTTTGACATTATACTTGTTTGGATACTCAAATACATCCAATAATTTATATATTCTACTTACATTCACACAAACGAAATTATAGCATTGCTCCAAGTTGATATGTTGAATATCACTGCCAGCATTATACAAAGCCTGAGATCTGACATGTATATGCTAGGAGAAAAGACAAATAGGAAAAGTTTACAAGCTGGATAGAAAGACAAAACATGAAAATGTAAATGTAAACAACATAGCATATAATTGCTATAGGAAAGACTATACATAGCCTAGGACACTATAGAAAAATAAAATCATGCTTAAGTTGATCAGGTTACCAAAAAAAAAAGGTTTTTGAAATAGACCATGAATAATGAATATTTTTTAACAAATAATAACAAAGTAAATTGCTTCACTTAGAAGCAGGCATTACGTGTAGAATACTTCACAATTTACAGTTCTCAGATGCAATGCTGTTCTCAAGTAAAACATCAAATTGTACTTGTAAAAGCCTTATCTATTCTACAGCTTAATTTTATAGAATTCTGACAAAGTTTGGGAAAGTGATCCAAGTTTCAAGACTTTTGCTATAAAGTTAGCTGGTTCAAAAATTTTAAGTTTCCATTTAAAATTCTAACTCTGCTAAAAATTCAAAACACACACACACACACACACTTCCATGTCATCAACTATGTATTAAAACTTGAGTAGAAAATAAATCAGCTTCTATTGTGCAACATTAAATTGGATCAAGGAGACAATATTCCTTAGGTCTCTCATGTATCCAAACATTTTCAAAGGCATAATGTGTAATTTGCTCCAGAATGTCTTTTCAAGGATGTTTGCATAGCAGGCAGACTTGCAAAGACAGATATGTCTCTTCATAGGGAAGATTTGCTTATTTTCAGAAAGCAAAGATAGAGACATTTGTCTTCCTAGAGCAGATTCGCATGACATTCCAAAGTAATAATGTCTCTCTTGTGACAGAAGAATGAGATGGTTTGCCAGCAGCCCATGTACAAGACCAGGGTTTCCTGATATCAAAGTTCTTTTTAATGCACTCCACTGCTTAGCAATAATTAACCCTAACTATATGGTAACTGCAATTCAGAAAACCAGTGCTACACTATTACTCCAGCTACTGCAGAGTTTTTGAATAACACCTGGTCTTTTTTCTAAATGCGGAGTCTTCAGTCTTCTGCCAGTAACTATGGTGGCGTGTCTGGCTAACTAGTTTGCATTCAAGTAGGGTAGGTATAATCTCAGATCCTGCCAAGTTCCTGACACCCCATCTTGAGATCTTAGCTTCAATAAGTGTACGTAAGTTAAAAAAAAAAAAAAAACACAATTTACAATACAAATTCCTTATGAATATATATGTGTGTGTGTGTGTATATCATCTAGAATAAGAACAAGAGATATATTTCATTTAGCCTCCTAAACATTAAAAATATAGGTGAAATTCTTGAGGATAGGATTTGGAATTCTGAACATCTTTTACCAATAGCAAATGATTAACAAGTGGTTTAAAACTTTGCCATCTTAGTTTTTTAAGGGAAGGAAGTCTTGTGTCATAAAAAATTGAATGGGCTCTTAGAATTAGCAATGTGAACAAGATTTTTAAAAGGTTTTTTAAAATTCACCAAAAAATACCACTCCAAATAAATCATTTTGAATGTCAGTTATGTATCTTTCTCTCAATTCTATATGAATGATATACACAGTAAACTAGAAGGACAAAATAACAGATCAAAAATATAAATACCTTTTATTAAAATGGGATTGTACTAAGTGTGTCACTTTTAATTATCTAATTTAAATAAAAGTAAACCAAATGCAGTAAAACAAAGTATTACTAAACTTCAAATAATTCTCCATATTCAGAGATGTCAGTTTCTAACAATTAAGAAAAAACATTAACATGATAAAGACACTGGACTTATGAAGACAATCCAATTCATTTTTAGTCTCTATTAACTTATATCCATTCATGAAAGAAGAGATAGCCCATCATAACTTCTGCCCATAGCCTACCTCTGCTCATGATTTTATCCTGACAAGGTTTTTTAGATTCATTTTCTACTCTGTAACCATAATAAAAATGCTTTAGACATAGCTACAAAGAAATTGACTTTGAAACATTTCTCTATTTTTAAGTCAACTAACTTTAATCAATTTCTTTATTGAGTAAACTTCATCTCCAAGTGTTTGTGGGTTTTTTAAAATATGTATACAACAAAGGCCTCCACTTCATGTTCCCGAGTTATTGTGCTTTCATACTCTAAGAATAGCTGGATCTTAAGAATAAAAGTTTGCTTCACCCTTTCTTCGCCTCACAGATTTGTAGTCACTGGTCAATGTCTTTCAACACTGCCTGACTCCCTGCTGCTGCTTATACATTTGTTACTCATCTATGCTCCATTCATCATTTTATTGGGTAGATTTCAATGTGGAGCAGTTTTTCAAATAAGTCCTTGAAATTCTCTTTCCTTTTGTCTTTGTAACTAAAGGACGATTTGTCCTGTGGCAATAGTCTTGGATTCCACTTTCATTTGAAGTTTGTAGACAAAGCTTCATTATATTTGGAAGAAACTCTGGAGATGTAAGAGACTAGTCAGTCTGTACTTCTATTTGAAATTTTTGTTTCTGGTTTGTGTACCTAAGTATATTCCTGAAGAATTCTTTATGAAAGAAATTTAAACCTTAATCAGAATAAGTCTGATTGACAATTATGGTTTCTCACTTTTTCCTGACAATACTTCCTTTTTGTTATACAGAATTAGTTTGTCATTTCAAGAAATTTTTCTTCTAGCTTCCAAAAAAAATTCTTGGGTTTTCTACTTGATATATAAAATCTATCCATATAGTAAATGTCATTATCATTCACATATTTTTTTATTTTGTCTTAGAATATTCTACAATTATCTCAATTTCTTCCCATATTATAGAAATAAGATTTTGGCTGCACTGTATTGCTATTTCTAAAGGACAAATATTTAATAATATTTCTAAAGGACAAATCTTTAATAATATTTCTCTAGTCTTCATTTTGTTCTCTTGTTCAATCAATAAAAAATGGTAGACAATTAGCCTCTTGGAATGTTGTTTTGGAGTTTTTCACCTTTCTGAATTCAGATTCTGAGTTCTATAAACAGGTATGAGAATATTTTAGGGATAGGGCAAGGCTTGAAGCTTTTTCCATATTTATTTCATCTGATTTGTGTGTGCCATGATTATTTTTAGTATGAATTATATAGTTTCCTGATTATTTTATATGTGTTGGAAATTTTTTTTAAAAAGGTAGACATTGAAAGTAGTTCCTGTCCCTAACAGATGCCACAGAAAATGGAGGGATTTTTCAACTCGTGAGGAATTTTTGTGCCTTCTTCACTTCAGTATCTCTATCTGCAGATATGTTAACAACATAAGATTTAACAAGATTTAACTAGATTTAACAAATTACCTTTTGCCCCATAAATCACCTTTTGTCCCCATAGGAGGTCTAGGGGACCCACAGTCAGGGCAGAGAAAACATCATGAACCTCATCAGTTCAGTTTGGTTCTTGACTACTACATTTTACAATCTATGTGTGAAGGTGGGCCCCTTTGTTTTGTTCATTTGCTGTTAGACATTTATTTGCTTTGCTTACTATTTTCGCTTTTTTGAAAACTCTAGAGAAAGGAGAATTTTGTAAATTACCTTTACTCTATCATTATTTACCTGGATTTTACTGTGACATTTTTAAATATTTCAAAAACTTATTTTACTTTTATGTGGCACATTCTTGAACAAGGCAAGTATTCATTAGTATTAAGAGTATGTTAACATTAGTGTTCCTAAACCAAAGCTTCTCTTCCATTTTTTGAATTAAGAGCATGCAATTATATATAAAGATATATATGTCTACATATATACTTACATATATACACACATATACATACCTGTATCTCTTTGTGTATGTGTGTACACACACACACACACACACACACACACAGTGGAGGAAAAAGTTATATCGGCTCACAGTTTCAATAGACAGCTGACACCACACCTCTCTGGACCCAAGATGAAGCAGAATATCATGGTGGAAAGGTATGGAGGAGGAAAGCAGTTCAGAACATGCCAACAGGAAGTAGACAGAGAGTCCACTCACCAGGAACAAAATATAAACCCCCAAAGCACCTCTCCAGTCACCTATGTTTTCATACCCACCTACAGTTAAAACCCAGTTAATACATATAAGTACATTAATCCACTGATTAGCTTACAGTTCTCATAATCTATTCATGTCCTCTGAAAATTCTTGCATTGTCTCACATCTGAGCTTTTGGGAGTCATGTCATATCTAAGCCATAACAGTATACATTACTTGCTTATGTATAGCATCTATTAGATTATATCAAAAGGGAATTTGTCACTATTAGCTCCATAATTTATTTATAACCTATTCAAAATCTGAACCACCCAACTCATCTCTGCGACACAAATATCAAACCCTAAGATATTCTTCCTCTATTTTGACAACAGGTATAATTCTTGCCTATGACAATTTTAACCCATATTGATTTCAGTATGTGTTTCCTTATTAAAGCTATCATATATTTCTTCAATTAATGGTTAGCAAGACCACATTCTCAGAACATAGGGCACAAATATATGCAAAGCATACTTGCCAGCTGCATAATATTATTTTGATTAGAATATATTCATGCATATTTGATAATTTAAAAACTATTTTAAAATATCATTCACCAGCTAATGTTCATAGACTAAATAATGTGCACAAATTTTTATAAAAGGTATTTATACATATTAGGGGTTTTTTTTCTATTAATAAAAACACATGAAACTTCAAATACTTTGCTTCTTGAAACTGAGTCTTTTAATAATGGTTTCCAGTTAAGTGGAATTTTTACTTAGTAAAACTATTTTCCTCCATACCAGAAAATAGTATTTCCCATATTTGAGCAGAGAAACTTACATTTTACCTAAATATAGCAAAGGAATCTTTGACACATTTAATAACCCACATTAGACAACACTTTTAGGTTGTTTATGAGAAAAGGTCTATGGCATCATCTTATGCTATCATTCCAAATGTTTCCACATTCAAACACAACAAATGGAACAATCTGCTGGCTACATGAACTTCTTGTTATGTAAATATTTTGGTTCAAAG